TTATTAAGTACTTCAGAACTGCAGGGAAATTTGGGGAGAGGAATTATCCTCAGTCCTGCCACCCAATCTTCTTCCCAAATAAGGCAGGACAGTTTTGTTTTTATCTGATTTATATATCATACTTCAAGGTAAATTTTTATTTGAAATAAAAAGTCTGCTGTAAAACAAATCTTAAAGCAACAGCCTTAGAGAAAATAGTCAACCTTTAAAGTGATAGACTTGCAAACCTAATTAGAAAGTAAATGTCATAGGGTAAATCAGCGTATGTGCAAGAGGAAACTGGTAGTGATTATAGTTTTTAACTTTTTAAAAAGCTTTTGCCAAGTTTCCCTATTGAATGAAGTTTGAAATATGAGATTGAAATGACGGTTTTCTGTGACGGCACACCTGATTTAAAGATGTAAAATCAACCCTGGCTTTTCAACTGACAATTTAAGGTGGCAATTTTGCATTTCCTATTTTCTATTTGAAGCCAAATGTCTTCTTCTTTTTCCATCCTGCTCTCCTTCTGGCTTCCATGGATCTAGAAGTCCATTTTCAAGATGATTATACCTCTCCAGTCAGAGATGAAACACAGATGACTGAAGAGACGTTCTCACAATCTTCTAATACCACAGTTCTTCTAATCAGTGACTCTCAATAATTTGAACCGTCCTTTTTCACATCTCCATATTCAAATACTGGCCACATTAAATCTTTTTAATAAGGTCTGTGGTTTTCATCCATTTGTTTTCATTTCTAGGGGTACCAAGTCAACTTAGGTCTTAATCAATTTACGTGTCCACAGTACATTTAACTACATTGCTGCCCTTTCCCTCTCCATTATCTCACTCTAGTCTTTACACAAATGTGTCTAACCCTGTCCCCTGTACATAAGTGCTGGTGCTCTTTGTGACCTAGAGAAATAATATGTAGACTCCTATCTAGCATCCAGGACCTTCAACCCCCTGCTTCTACCCTATCTTGCTGCTTCTCCTGCTCAGATCCTCTTCCTAGATGACTGAGTTTTGGTGGGTTCAAATCCATGAATATACATGATTCTTTATCTCTTCTATATTTCTATGGTTACTTTTGCACTATATATGTGAAAAGAAAGGACACTGTTCAACCATGATGAGAAAAATTATTTTAGAACTGACTTTCTCAAATCTGTTTGAAAAAAAAAAAAAGGAAAAAAATAATCCTCAGGACATATGATAAGAGCTCCATAGGGAAGGACCATGCCACAGGATGGGAGTGAGCACCATCCCCATTACAGCTGTTCTGAGTTTATTTATTTATTCATTTTTATTATTTTAAATGAATGAATCCTTAGAAAGAAAGATTTCTTTTTCAGAGTAGCTAAGAAAAGACTGTGTAGCCTCAAATACAAGCAGAGTGAAAAAATTCTAATAAGTGGCTATTATTTTCTCATAAAGTCTTATTATAATGCCAACTACTTCAAAATTTACAAGTCCATAAAGGCTAATCTTTCTTTTTACTGTGTCTTCAATAAGCAGCCCAAATGAAAATGCAACTGTTTTCTCTATGTAAAAGGCTTCTCTGAGTACAAGGCACCTCATGACCTAGAATGATCACATCTTCAACATAGAAATGTTTCTGTCCATATAATATTTGGAATCCCCAGGCATATTCTGGATATTAAGTAATAATGATAGTTGTATTAAAGGTCACTTTAAGAAATTTAAAATGTCTTCACAATAATTCCAAAGAGGGTTGGGCTTCCCAGAGGCAGTTCCAGAAGTGAGGATTCATGTTGGAGTGCTTTATGAGGAAGTTGCTCTCAAGAGAGACTGGTAAGGGAGCAGGCAAGCAGGACAGGGGAAGGGAGTAAGCCACACAAGAGTGCAATTTTCCAGAAAGTTCTCTGGAGAGAAACTTTCACCTTATCCCACAGAATCTCTGAACATAAGTTACATCTTTCACTGCAAGGGAACTAGGTTTTCATATTCCTGGGTGTTATCAGTTACCATCCAGGCAGGGGCTGGAGGTTATGTGGTGGGTATAATTCCCACATATTTCTGGCTTCCTGTGGCATCAGGTAAAGTTCATGCACTATCCCAAGAAAAAGAGTCACACAGTTGTTGGAGGCAAAAACCCACTTCAAGGATGGGAAGGGATACAGGAGAAGGGACTTGAAGGAGTCTTGTCAAAGCACCAACAACATCCATTGGAGAATACTTCTGATGGCCTAGAACCAAAAATTCCCATCCCACTTTATAATCTAGTCAATCAATAGTTATTAAGAATAGTGACCACAGGCATGTTACTAACTTCTCTTTGACCCAGCTTCTTCCTCAAACATACAGAAATACCTAATTTGGGGTTCTAAGGAATGTCACCCAACATAACACATACAATATTTTAATCACTGTACATTGCAAAAGAAATGAATAATTACAAATTTATTTTTTAAAAAACTCCTTTGTATTTAGTATCACAATTTAAAATTTGTCGGTGGGCTTCTCTTAGTGCCATAATAAATTTGAGAGATTCAAATTATATACACAAAATAAAGGAAAATAGAACTTAGTCATACATAGTAGAAAAAAACCTATAACTTGTTTTGACTCCACTTTAGGAAAAATTAGAAGCATGAACAACATCTGAATTTCTCATTTTGCATCATTTTAAATTCTTAATTCATCTATAGGTCAGGAAGACCTAGATCTTTTGTAAGACTAGTTATGGAAAAAAAGTACTGACAGAGTTTGGTGGAAAGAAAGAAATTGTAACAGAAAACACAGTCTTATAAAACTTTCTAGAAAAAGAAAAAAGGCATTGTAGAAATATTTTATTAGCACTGAGATAATATTAAGTTGAACCATATAAAAGTCACCAGTTCGTAAAACCCTTTTGAGCTACAAAAACAGTAACTTCATATCATTCAACCTGATACAAAAAGTCTATTGGGAGCCAGTTCTTTATGGATTCCTTTTCTTCTACACATCCTGCTAGCTATGTTGAGAATGCAAGACTCTGACCACTGCTTACCTGGAGTTTTGTTTTGTTTGCTGCAAACAGACCAGCTTGCATGAAGAGGAAGTGTCTGTCTCTGGAATAAAGGTTAGGCTTGCCTACTGCTTGCTATAAAAGCAGTGGATTTCCAAGCTCATGTTTCTCTCTTGCCACATACTTCTCTGAACATACACAAGGCATTTGAGCTCTTTCCATTATCCTCTTGGAACTTGGGAGCAAAGGGAACCAACGTAGATGTACCAGGGTTTATGATGCTTAATGTGCCATGAGAAATACTGTCCATTTACTCTGACCCAGGAGTTTTATGCCTTCTGCTACATCCATAAAACTGTAGCAAGCTGAAGTAGGGTAATATTAAATCCCAGACAAAGGCACAGAACAGGACATTCTAAAGATTGATTAGTTGTATTAGTGGTGAAGTTTTCCCAAATGATAAGTATCTTAGACCAGAAAGTAGAAAACATCCTTAAGAAAGATCAAGTGTGGTCATTCACCTTTCTATCCTTGTTGTTGAAGGAATTTTTTTTACATTGAGAGAGAAAAGAAAAAGAAAGAAAGAAAAAAAAAATCAGGAGAAACAAAAAAAATGGTCATGTCCCCCAGTACCCTGAACCCTCAGAGGGTAGAAAGTCCCTGAAACAAGTCTCTCAAGGAAGCAAAGGTTGTGTCCTGAAGTCAGAAAAAATTCATGTGGGAAGTTTCAGCAAGGTGATGGGTTTGAGCATCTATCTGTTCTCTTCCAACATTTTTTGCCCATTAGCTCAATCATTAGACATCAAATAATAAACTTAGTAGTTAAGGCTCTTTTAATACTCAGAGGCCCAAATTATTAAAGAAAGAAAGAAAAAGACCTTGGAAGCCAAAGCACAGGGTAGATTAAAATTAATAATCATGTCTCTATGCACAGCTCCCCTGCTTTCTTCTTAAATATGGCGCTGAGTGGTCCTGCTAGTTTCCTTTTCTAGTCTGACCATTGATGAAACCTAACCATTTTCCCTGACAATGCCCCGACAATGCCACAATTGTGGAGCTGGTATTTTTATGTTAATAGCCGTTCTCTGATTCATTAAGCCCTATTGCCCCTGACATTTTCCTTTCTGACCCTTATCAGCCACACACTAGCAAGACATGAAGAAATAAAGAGGACAAAGAGAGGTAATAAAAGGGTTACAAACCAAGAAGTGTATTGTGACTGTGACCAACAAGGAAATTTGGAAATGGGTGACTGAACACCCAAGGATGTCCTGTCAGCTAGTCACAGCTACATCTGTTCAAAACCTGACAAGTGCTTAGCACCATTTCAAGGTGTCACATAGAGATACATAGCAAATGACAGTCATGGATGTTACTTTAAGAGCACCTAAAATTTAATAGATGAGATATCACAATTAAATGCTTATATATCCATAAACAATCTGGCCCTTGCTTGTCTCTCTACTTATTCTTTACTTCTTTCATAGCATGTGTCACAACCTGCAATACTTAGGTTATTTATTTGTGTTCTTGCTTGGCGTGGCTTCCCTCGAGCTGGGATTTGCCTGGTAGGAGGCAGAGCATCCATCCCAATTATTTACGACTGCTACTCTGGATCTTACGCACAGGAATATAAATTTCAAATAAACAGGGACCATATCTACCTTACTTACCATTGTCATCTCAGGACCAAAGAAAATGCACCTAGTAAAATCTCAAAACAATTTTTTTAAATAAATAAATACCAAAAAAAGAGAGCAACACCTATATAGAGACATCATATAACTTATCTTCTGAATGCTGCTGCTAAATCATTAATACAAATTCAAGGGAGAACCTGATTCAAAGACATAAGAAAAAAATTTCAAAAAATTTAGATGAGAAAAAAAGAAATCCCCAGATCCAGGAAATCTATTCCTACTTCATTTTCCTTAGTGAATATTGAAATCATCAATCAGAAAAAAAATTAGTAGAACATGAAAGATCCTATAAGACTCTCATCATGTGACCTTTAATTAGACTTCAAGAGCAGTGGGGTTCTGCTGGTACTCACAGACTTTTCAAGGTTAAAAGCGGGATAAGACTCATAATAACCTAGTTGAATCATCCAATTCAACTCAGTCATCCCAACTGTAAATGCTAAACTAGTGAAGTTCAAGGGTATGGCACTAAACACCAGATAGAGTAATTTCATTGATGACCCTTAGATTTTCATTCCTTGCATTGTGCTTTTTTTTTTTTTTTTTTTTTTTTTACCCCTTGTGCCTTCCTTTGGCCAATGAGATGTTAGCAAATATGATGGATGCAGAAAAGTGCCTGCACACTGGCACATGCTCTCCTTTTGCTTTCTCCTTCACTATAGCCATGAGGACAGGCCTGGACTAACTTTCTGAAGGAGAAGATACATCGAACATAGCTATTGTTCCTCATCCCAGCTGAGGCTATGCCAGACCAGCTGAAAGAGTTAGCCTTTCAAAGTTCAACCAGCTGCCTGGGCAGTCACCATAGACACGTAATGAGCACAGCCAAGATGGCAGCACTTCCTTGCTGGCCTATAGATGTGTATATTGCTGAGTTTTAGAGGGGTTTGCATCATTATTGCAGCAACCTAATAACAAACTCTTGTAGATTAATAAAAATTAATTACCAGTAAAATAATACTAAATGCAAATATGTTTGTTCTTTATTGAATTAGGTGTTTATAGTTTAGAGTTTTGGTTTCTCTAAAACTGCACACATCTTCCCTCTAACCACATCTACATCACTGGTGCTGAGCAGGCCTGAGTAGGACGCACTTAGAGAAGAGATGTGAAAAGCCACAGCAGGTTCAGCAACACAGTGGTAGATGTCACCTTTGTAGCAGTGTTGGAGAGCCAGTATTTTGCATACACATCATCCAGCATTGAGAGCACAGCCTCCATGGCCTCCTCACAGGTGGGCTGGATCTGAGTTTCATGCAGAAGAAACCCCTCGGTACCATTGTCTCTCAGCTCAAATGTGTATGAGAAGGGGATCCCGATGTCTCGAGCCCAGTCTCTTGAAGACCCTGATGTGGGATCTGTAAATGAAAACATGAAGACACAAGTAGAAATCTCACTTGTAAAGGATGGATTTCCTAGGGAATAAGAGCTCAGTCAATATAAAAAGGGAGTGGTTTCATTAAGAGTTCCTGGTGACCTGTCTTCTCCATCTCCTGATGGGCTGCCCCTACACAGCAGGGACTGTGTCTTATTTAGCCCGTCTGCTCCCGTAATCTGGCCCTGCACCTGGCACATAGCAGAGGTTTGGTTGGAGCTTCTTAGCTGAATCAGAGTCTAGTTAATCTCATAGCAAAAGGCAAGAGTGAACTGATAGGAACAGAAGTAAAATGACCCACAAGAAAACTATGATGCAATATTACGTAGGTGGGATGCCAGAGGGCAGAGGAAGTGGTGGTTGGGGCTGGGAGAAGCAATACCCTCTTTTTGCAACTAAATTCTTTTCTTTTAGTTTCTTTCTCCAGGACTCATTCTTCTCTGCTTTCTTAGCTTGATGGAATTGAATTAACTGGCCAAGGGTCAGTGTACAATATCCATACTGTTAACTCCTGTGCTTTCTAACTTGCCAGCTCTTTTTAACTGGAGCCAGAGAGTCTCTGGTCTGAGACTGTATTTTTTTTTTCTTTAGTTCATACTTTATCCCTAGAGAGTATAATTCTGGACTTGAAGAGGTTCCCTTTTATCCTTGGTCATTTTGATTTGTACAAATACCTGTTGATCCTAGGGGCTCTTGTATTCCTCTCCTGCCCACCTCACCACCCAAACTCCACTGATTTCTTTTGTGCCTTAGATACTACTGAGAAGGAAAAAAAAAGATACTTACATAAAATATCTGCACTCGATCCAACTCTATAATTGATTCCATGCTTTGCTTTCAATGCATTGGCTGCCTTCTGTCCAACTCGAATCTGTAGGTGGGAAATGCAGAGACAGATATCTGGTGTTAAAAATAAATCCGACAATCCAAGCGTTTGGTATTTTGTCCAGATCGATCTGTAGAGTTTTAGATCATCTTTCCAACTTCCCATTGAACATAAACATCTGGGTAGCCTGTTGGTATCTCAGATTCAAATACTCACTTTCAATTTCATCATTTCTCCCACCAATAAGACTGTTCTGACTTTACTATTTCTGGCATTGCATGCTCCTTAACAAACACGGAAAATCCTGCAATATCTTTGACTCTCCTTCTCTCAGTTACCAACTTTCATTTCCAGTACCATGACCATATGTCAGGCTCATTACCTGAACTGGTCTGTTGCTTCTTCTAAAAAGTTTCTCTTTCTCTCATCAATCCTTATCCCAATTTATTCCACCTGGCTTCCAGATGAGTAGAGCTATGATCATGATCTTGCTGAAAAGCTCCTAATAACTCCAGATTGCTCACTGAATTAAGTACAAACGTCTTAGTCTAGTTTTTGAGATCCTCTACAGTATGGCCCTAACCCAGCTTTCCAGCACCATCTTCTGGACGTCCACCCTAGAGTATAGTCAAACTCAAATTTCCCCTGGGTTCCTCAGTCTCTCTACTTTTCCTCAGGATGTTCCCCTCTATCTGGGATTTCTATCTGTTTAAATTCTACTCAACCTCAAAGGGCTGTCTGAGATGCCAACTTCTCCATAGAGATTTATCTGGTCACCCCAGCTGGATTTCATCTTTCCACACTTCAAATCTCCCACAGCCCTTTATCTACACCTCTCTTATGAGTCCTCTTATTTTTCTTTATAGATATTTGATGACATCTCTCATAAAAATTTCTGAGCTGGAAGGCACATTTGTCCCTGTACCCACCATGTCACCTTACTTTACTGGAAATTCCTTAGAAACAGATGATTTCTAAGGTCTCGACCTTATTCCCTGAAGACCCTTTCCTGAGATCAGTTACTGAGGTCTGAGTCTATTGGCTGTGCTTACTGGCATTCTGACAAATCCTACTGCATAGATCTGTCCTCACTCAGACCCTCTAAGTATTCCCCATCCCAGATTCCTCCATGCTATATTCCACCCACCAAATGGTGCATCCCAATACTTCTTCTAGATTCTACAAAAACACCACCAATCCCTTGTCACTCCTGCCTGCACTATGATCCACCATTGTTTTAGTTGTGCTTATAGATGAATCAACTCTCCTGACTCTCACTAATGCTGGGCCTAGTTTGAGACGCTGACTCTCCTTTCCTGGCTCTGCACTGCCCAGATGAATGCCAAGATGTGATAGAGAAGTACTTGGGTGGAGTGAGGAAGAACCCAGGAAAATTCAAAAGGAAGAATAAAAAAGGGAGTCAGTGGTGGTGTTGGTGTTGGTGGTGGTGTGTTGTATGCAGCAGCTGTGGGCAACATCCTTTGGGAACTGGGGACTTTCTAGGTCTGGCTAAATTAAAAGAAAAATTTAAAAACATGTTAACCTGAGCATCTCTGCAAATGTTTCACCTTTTCTCTACTCACTACTGAGAATTCTACCTTTGCTCATGCACCTGCTCTCTTTCTCTCTCTCCCCCATCATTCTGAGTCTGCCCCAACTCCTAGGTTCGTGTTGCCTAGAACTCAGATAACGGGTAGGAAAGGCTGAAGATCTACAAGGTGTAAAGCTTGTTTAATCGCTTACAGTGTAGAAAGAAGAGAAACTTGTAAGACGGAGGGGAGACTCAGAAAGAGATCTCTAGAGAGAAAAATGCAAGCAAGGAAATGAGCGTGAAGGGTGGAGAGGACACAGGGAGCCGCTGTGTGATGCAGGGGAGAGCAGGAGGCCTGGGGAAGCACCGCTGTGATTTTTACCAACGAAATCCTTCCTGAGTTCCTTGAGAGTTGTCTAGCAGTGATATAAATTGTTTTCAATTATTTTCAATTCCTATGCGTGTCCTGTTTCTTTGAATGAAACTCCATATCATCTGATCCATGGTGGGCCTTACCTTTCACTTGGGATTCATGGATTAGCCCCAGGCTACATTTTCAATCCAAATGATTCCTTACGTCCCCTCACCCTGAGCTTACCCCAGACAATCATTTCTTCTTTCCATTGCCAGCTTTATTTTATTCTCTATAGTTCCTTTTCCTCAAATCCTGGCTGTAGGGTAGGAAACAGTCTTCCCAGAGATAGTCTTCTTCCCCATCTTTACAGACAAAAAACCCAAAACTTTTGGACTTTATTTTTTTTTAAAGAATTTTCCATTAGTAATTACTATGGGAAAGCAGATAAGGGATATATATATATATATATATATATATATATATATATATATATATGTAATTTATTTATACCATATATCATATTTAAAATATATATCATATAATAATATATATTTCATATATATGTATATATATACATATATGTATATATATATGTTTGTGTATATATATGTATATATATGTTTGTGTGTTTATATATATATATATATATATTGTGTGTGTGTGTGTGTGTGTATACACACATATATGAAATGATCCTCAGCTTATAAATCAGGTGATTTCCAAGAAGATGCTGTGGAACCCCCTGGACTTTTGACTTCAATTTCCGTCTCTAGGGTGGAGCTCTGAGTATACTTCTCTCTCCTGATGCTGTATTGCAAGGCCATAGAGATTCAATACTTCTGTGGCCCTTCTCAGGTTAAAAGTATTTCCTGGTAAAAATGATAAAAACTCCTTTGCCAGTAGAACATTATCATGTTCTACACTCTAAAGACCTCTATAGCCTGATGGGCAACTCCTTCTCCAGGCCTAGAGAAATGCCTGTAAGCATGTATTCACAGGCAGGTGTATGATTAAGGACCTGGCATGTGCAGGGAAGAACCAGAGCTTGGGATGTTATAAAGAGGTTTATATGAAAATAATTAAAGTGGAAATAATGGAAGCATGTAAAACATTAGAATTCTTAGAGTTATTCTCATTGCCAGAGCAGTTTAGAAAAGGAGCTATATATAGTAATGTTTCCCCTACATAGTGATTGCCAAGATGTCTGTCATGAAGTGTAATATTTATCATGATTTCCAAAAGTTTTTGGTTTTGTAAATACAGAGAGATTAATTGCTAGTCTTTGGTGATTATAAATAATGTTAGAAATGAAAATCTCTTTGGAGCAGTTGGCTTGATTCTGTGTCTTTGTTCAAAGCTTACCTACCCTGACAACATAAAAGCACCACTAAGTGGCTTCAATAAGGTTGAAGCATGATTGCTAATTTTTCACACTGAAAAACAAACTATGGAAAATTCTTAGATTAAACATTTATGTGAACTCTTCAGCACCTGGGACTGTAAGAGATACAAGAGAATTTTCCAATTTCTATGTTTAGTACTAAGGATTTGCTAGCATTCTTGTCTTAGAGTTACCACCTCTAGTGTCAGCATGATTGCCCCAAGTCTCTCCTGACTTCTTACTAACTCTATAGCCTATGTCACTGGGATCTAACCAGATAACCTGTCAGTAACACAGGCCTTCTAACCTTTGAATATAGACCTTGCAAAATAGTCATGTAGTATCTGTCTTCCTGAGCCAAAAAAGAGAAGGAAGAAAAGTACTGGGGTATATAAATGCTGGTGGAAAGCCATTCCCACCAAAGATCTTTCTGTTGGTGAAGACCCCCTTCCCATTAAGGATCTATAATGTCTTTGGAGAGTCTCTTGGCTTTGTCACAACTCCTTTGAAGGAGAAAGTAGAAATCTACAACTAAAATCACAGAAACTGAGGATGTAGAAGTTTCTGAGCTTCTTGGCTGAAATCTCTGCTCTGTGTATTTCTTTATTGAAGAAACTTCTAGGGCTTCTCGATGAGGAAGAGATGGCACATAGTTGACTGGGACTCTAAATTATCATTGCTGCTAAAAGTTGCAAACCCTTTCTGAATAGAGAGAGACAGTGTAAGAATAATGGCACCAAGGTGGTCATGGGAGTCCAGCTGGGCCTCCACCTCCTGTCTATAGGGGTCTTCAAATATAGTTATCCCAAGGTCTCAGTTTCTACATCTCCAAAGTGAGATTATTTTGTTGTTATAAGGATCAACTGAGATAGTGGCTGTAAAATCCCTTTGTAAATAGTAAAGATATAGTCAAATGTGGGTTACTTCCACTGTCTACAAAATGACCGCAATACAAGTTTTCCTGGACCAAGGGAGGAAAAGTTATTGTACAAAAGGTTCTGGAGTATTGCTGGATATTTTTAACTGCTGGTGGAAGGGTTCCCTCCAATAAAAATCTGTAGTGGGTTTTCCTTTTGTATCCAGATCTTGTGTTTTATGGGTCATCTTCCAGTAAGAGAGGGTCAGGAAGAATAACATAACCAGCAGGCCTCTGAGATAAGGCTGTCTCACATCCATTCCAGCATTTGCACATAATGAGGGGCTTCTTAAACAGAAAATAACAAGCATTAGCAAGAACGTGGAGAAAGTGAACTCTATGCATTGTTGGTGGATACATAAAATGGTGCAGCCACTATGGAAAACCATCTAGTGTTTCCTCAAAAAGTTAAACATGGAATTATGTGATCTGGCAATTGTGCTTCTGAATATATATCCAAAAGATTTAAAAGCAGGGTCTTGAAGAGATATTTGCATACCCCATACTCATAGTAGCATTATTTTCAATATCTGAAAAGTGGAAGCAACCTAAGTGTCCATTGGTGGATAAATGGATAAGCAAAACATGACCTATACATATGATGAAATATAATTTGGCCTTAGAAAGAAAAGAAATTTTGACAACATCCTACAATACAGATGAACTCTGATGACATTATACTAAGTGAAATAAGCCAGCTATAAAAAGACAAATACTACATGATTCCATTTATATGAAGAATCTATGATAGTCAAACTCATAGAAACAGATAGTGGAATGGCAGTAGTCAGGGGCTGGTGGTAGAGGGAAACAGAGAGTTGTTGTTTAGTGGGCTTCAATTACACAAGATGAAAAAGTTCTGGCAATTGGTTGCACACCACTGCGAATACTTTGGTCTCTACAGTTAAAAAACGGTTAAGATGGTAGATTTTCTATTAAGTGTACTTTATCACAATTAGAAACTGAAAAAAAGAATTAAAAATAAAAATAGTAAATATTACAACAATTGTGTACGTGCCCTCCCTTTGTTTTGTGACTATTGTCCTTAGGTTTACAAAAGAGCAAAAAGTCCACTTCTTTTTTAGCAGTTCTGCCCACCAGGGCTTGGGTAAACTGCCTCAGAAAGGAACGTGGATAAAACACAAAAGAATTTCCCTGCACCAGCTTGCCTCTTGTTGATACTTGCCCTTACAGATATTCCCCGGCAAATGATGTAGAAAGAGTTTAAAAGAAAATAGAGAATTGTGTTTAGCAGAGAAGAGAGCAGATATTATTTAGCCATGTTATTTCAGATATGCCATATTCCACTAACAGCTGGCAAGTTCTTTAAAGCATGGTTCAAAAGCTGTAATTGCCGATTGGAGTTTCAAGAGAATTTACAGAAACGAAAGCTCGTTTCTGCAGATTATTAGCATAATCATCTCATTTATATTATAGGCGAATACCTAAGATGTCTCCCAACTTGACACTTTATGAAACAGGTAGTTAATTAATGTAGGTAAAGCAGCATTTAACCCAAAGCCTTCTCAGCAGGCATCTGGCAAGGAACGAAACACAGAAAAAAAGAAAATAAGGATGAGCAGAGAGAAGACGAGGGAGGCTGGAGGCTCCCTTGCAAAAGGAGATGAGGAAAAGGAAGCAGAGGGCCTCCTTGGGTTTCTCTGGAGACCACAGGGCTGTGCTGTGGGCTTACCAGTTCTTCGTGGTTACTTGGTTTATTTTTGGTGTAGCCATACGGAGTGAGGATGAGCTGCCCGTAAGAGTGGATGGTCAAGAAGCACAAAATGTCTTCCTTCTTGCTTTCTACAAAGCCGGAGACAGCTTTAATCTCTGGTTCAGACACTGGTTCTGTCCCACAGAATGTTAAATCTTGGCAGTTTTTGGAAGCACCAATACCTGTGAAAGTACAAGAAAGGACAAAGAAGCCTTCATGATCTCCATCTGGAAATGAATGAAGGCAAAGAGTCATCCTTGCTTGGGGCATCTGTGGGTGGTATCAAAACTTGACCTTGGTTGACTAAGTCAATCCCGAGTAAATCAGTCGGCTTGGGTAGTCACCGGGGATAATCAGGCAAGAAGCAACTCAGAAAGGCAGGAGGCCTGACATTAGGATTTAGAAACCAAGTCAATGGCCCAGGAGAGAGAGTGCAAAAATGAAATGGCATTTTGGTAATCTTTCACTTAAACCTGAGGTGGACTCTGAAACAAATGTTTGGGAATCAGTCTCCAAGTGCCTAAGTCTATTTCTGATAATTTTATTGGCCTAAGTCGCTCCTTCAGTGTCTTACTGGCTTAAGTCTCATTAGAGCTATTTTGCAAGGATGTAAGGAGTCCTCCTTATTAACAATAATAAAGCTCATTAATAAAACTCAATCAAGTTGAGCACCTCTTACATGCTCGGTCTGCACCCAGCCTCTCCTATGTAGCATCCCATTTAATCCTCATGGTGACCTTCTGATAAAGTGGGATTATGGTGACTCACATTTTACATAAGAGAAAATTAAAGCAGAAAGATGAAGTGATTTTTTTTTCCAAGACCACTCAGCTGCCAAGTCTGAATATTAACCCTTGCCATCTGGTGAGTGGTAATGCTCTTAACCATTCCTGCCTCTATCTGCTTCCAATTCTTTGGGCATACTGAGATTTGGAAACATAGAAGTGCCATAAGGAGAAGAAAATGTTTGCTTTGCTTATTGCTACCTCCCTGCTGTACAATAATCTCCAAGGATAATGCTCTGGGTTTTCTTTTCTTTAAGATGATCTAAATATCTTCAAACAAAGTGAAGAAATTTAGATATATTTGTACTGATCTAGGTCTGCTTTGTCCTTGTTTAGCTATCTGCACTTGAAGAGAGTCCTGTACATGAGTGTCAATGACTCTTACTATAGACATAATGTCAACTCTTGGAATAAAACTGGACAGAATGCTCAGAAAGCGGTACAAATTTTTAAAAAATGATATCTTTAGTAATTCACCTCACTCCTTGTTTCTCGCTTCTTTCCCCCCCACCAATTCATCCAGTAGACATGTACTTACTACACCAGGACACATTGAAATTTCGATTGAGATCCGATCCAAAACATGTGCCATTATTGTGGGATGAACGGGATTTCCTCCAAAGACGATCCTGTAACAGAGGAACCAAAAAGGATGTTGCCATTCCAAGGCTTCATAAATCACAGTGTTAGTGGTGACAGGTGGTCCTTGAATGTGAAAAATGTTTCCTAGGATTATCTGGAAAAACTTGCTTTTAACATGGCGAAGCCTATGCATGTAATTTTTAGTCTGGAAGATGGACTAGCAACCCCCAATCATAGAAACATCTGTACAACCAAAAGCATGCAAATGTGTAAACAATCAAATTGGAGGAAGTAGTTTGGCTTTTTCCTCCGGAGCAGATCAGCTGCGCCTGTGGACGTGACCCGCTTACTCAGAGCAAATCTCCGAGTCATTTTTAAGGGCTGAGTGATACAGGATGAAAGGGAAATAGCTTGACAGATGGAAAAAGGCTGTTCCAGGTGTATCAGAGATGGTCTCTGCACGTTTCTGGAAGCAGATGACTGATGAGGGGAGATGGAGAGAAAGACAAGTTTCACCAGCCAAGCTCAGAGGGAGGGACTCAATTCACACAAAGGCAAGAAAGTCTGTTCCAGAGACAGAGACACCGACCCCCCCCCCACCCCCAAGGGACTTTTGGGGAGGAGAGCAGAGGGAGGAAGAGTGCTCTCTAGAAAGAGGGAGTGACAAGCTTTAGAAACCTTGTCAGGACAGAGCTGTCTATATCTCCACAAAAAGACTTCATGGGATGTTTGCCCCTCCATGAATGATCACATGGAGAAATATAGCTTTGTTTAGTTTTTATACATCATTTATTTCCTTAAGCCTCCAGTACTGATCTGAGGCAGATACAGGTTGGTACATAAGTTTTATATCCATATAATTCTAACTGAGTGATGGGAAATTCAAAAACATCATGAAGCTAGTCAAGGAGAAAATTGGACTAGAAAATTGGGAAGGTGTCAGAAACCAAGAAAATACCCTCCCTGCTAGACTTCAACTCCAAGAAGGCTGTAGGTTTCCTCAATCTTAAAATTGACTTTGACTCTTTGATTAAAAAAATGTTTAGCTGATTTTTAATCCCATGTGGTGTTTCTTTATTTACATGGGTACCATATATTTTTATAGCTAGAACAGGGGAGGTTGGAGTAGTGAGCCGAATTCGGGAACTTTGGTTCATGAATGCATCCCAGGACCAACCCCGGGTACTCACAGTTGTCCACGAGTAGATGTAGCCATCTATGTTAAGAACTGGAAGCACATAGAAGTCCAGATTCCTAAGGAACCTGTTTATTCTTGGATTATCTTTATAGTTTTGTAGAATCTGGAAATTTAAGACATAAACATTTGATTCTAAGAAGTTTTTTTTTTTCCTCACGATTTTCTGTGAATTTCAATTTATGACTGCATAGTACACCTCTACCCTCCAGTTCCCGCCCTTCCTTAGTTATCTTATTCTTTATAGTTGTGGTTCTCAAACTTTATCATGCACCAGAATCACCTGGAGGACCTTGTAAAATAGATTGTCTGGCTTTATCTGTTTTCCTTTTTCCTCCCTCTCCTCCTGAGCTTCTGATTTACTAAATTTCAGATGAGCCAAGAATTTGTGTTTTCAATAAGTTCCCATTGATGTTGATGCTGTTGGTTTGGAGGCCACATTTCAAGAAGTACTTCTGTGGGTTACTTTATTTCTATACATATATAAATAAATTGAAAAATCATATGTAATATTTTAAATATTATACATAACATAAATATATAATATTAAAAATATGTATTTATATTTGGGTTTCTGAAAATACTGACACAAAAAGTATCAGATTACTTTTAAAGGTTTCTTACTCCCCTAAAGGGAGGGATATAAATAATATACAAAAATTCATTGTGCTGAGTATTTTCCATATGCCAAATCTTTTAATCCACATGGCAAACCCACGAAATAGTCATTTCATACACCCTTGACAGGTGAAAAACTAGGGTTCCTAGTGTAGGAAATTTGCCCAATACTATTTAAAAGAGACAGGCCCAGGGTTCAAACTCATCTATGACTCCCAAAATGAATCATCTTTTATAGTTAGAAATGTATATCCTCCAATAAAAGTGACTTTGGATGTACTAGGAAAAAGATCAGGATACTAACTTTTCAGAAAAGCTACTCATTAACTCTCTTTCTTTATTTTTATTTTATTTTATTTTATGTTTTTGGTAGTGGTGCTGGGGATTGAACCCAGGGCCTTGTGCAAGCAAGGCAAGCACTCTACCAACTGAGCTGTATCCCTAGCCCCTAACTCTATTTCACTTGAGGTGAAGGATTAGTTTGGTGAAGAGTTTCATTGTTAACATGTGAAAGGAGCATGGATTCTAAGTTGCCAAGAAGTAATAGATGTTTTAAGAAGTATTTTACCATTAGGAAGAAACTAAACACACTTACTTCTTTCACAAACCATTGACAAAAAGCAGGGGCAATCCATTCTCTGGCATGAATTCCACAGTCCATCCAAATGATCTTCTTGGGGTTATCTGATGGTTGGCTGATCTGTGGAGGGGGAGAATCCATGCTCAATTACCCAATAGTCACTTATTATTGTAAGCCACTGTTACAGGGTGAAAAACAGGTGAAAAACTAGGGTTCATTCATGAACATGAACTAGGGTTCATGTTCATTCCCCTGCATTTCCCTTTCTTATTGCACTCTGGTTTCAAGAAGGTGACAACATCGTTTGTGGAGACATCCAACAATGTGACCCTTCTCCCTGCAACTCTTTTTCTCCTGCTTGTTGACTTCTTTGGTAGTTCTTCTCAGGACCATGCACACCCACCCAAAAAGTGGCCTTCTCCACACCCTAAGTTATTCCTTAATGATGGACAAACATATAAGTCCCCAAAGCCACAAGCCAAAAGGCTAAATTCCTATAAACCTTATGACAGTTTTATACATAGAGTTCATTCAGAGTAGCAAAATGCACAAGAGACAATGTTAAAGAATCAAAAGGAGTTTAAAATAAATCCCAATCTTACCCTTCCTGAAATTGTGAAGATATCAAATACACAGTCTCCTGAAACACTAATGGAATTCTCCTTTTGCTTGGAGATTCCTCCAGGCCCAGACAGCTCAACCTTCTTTCTTCTCTGCACGTTTGTTATTCTTGGATATAGTCCCGGTTCACTTCAGCAAGAAAGATGCCCTCCTTCTTCAGAGGAGTGGGCATATAGGAATTAAACTAGCAATCGTGGATTCTCCTTTGTGGAGAAAGGGCTGTAAATAGTCCCATGCTTTAACAGTCATATCTGTTTTACATTTGTTAGTGGCCTAGACCAGTGCTTTTTATTGAAAATCACTGGAAGCTGGGCTGGTGAAGGCTCTCTCCCTCCAGGAGATACTTAAAAATTGAGATAAATACATGGCTGGACCAATCATATTCAAATTCCTTAACCTCATCTATTTTTCAAAACTTCCAGGGCAACTCCTAATTCACCTCCTAATTTGAATAACTGCCCTATTTTATCAGAACATGTGTGTTAATTATAAGTTTACCTTTATTGCCTCCTTATTATATACTCCATCTATGCTTATGACATGCCCTGGGAAGAGGATGTTGTGTCATGTTGTCTTAGTTCAGAGTTTGAGGGTCTATTGAAAATCAGGTTGGCAGGTGCACCATGCTTCCACATCACCAACTACTTCATCCCTGGATAAATTTTATTTCTGATATATATATATATATATATATATATATATATATATATATATACACACACACACACACACATACACATACACATACACACACACACAGTAGTTGTGACAACTCTCACTTTGGGGTTTTGCTTTGTAGATTGACATATCTGTACAAGATAAAAGCAGTAAAATAAATAACACTAAATAAATGCCAGACTATTTTGGTGGAGGTACCTGAAGAGTGGTCTTGGCCAACAATATCAATGTCTCTGAGGTACTTGCTAGAAGCACATTGTAGTTCTAAAACTCAAGTGTGCATCAGGATTAGCAGGGATTGTTAAAACACACATGGCTAGAATCTATCCGGAGAATATGCTTTTCTAGCCAATTCCCAGGTGATGCTGATGCTGTGAGTCCAAGGACCACCGTTTGAAAACCACTGGTTGGGTGCAGTGGTTGTTAACTCAGCTACAGATTGAAAATCACCTGGGGAGCTTTCAAAGCATGCCTGCCCCCATCCTGGAACAATAGGCCACCATCTCTGTAGGTGGCACCTAGGCAACAAATTATTCTGCAGTTTCCAGGTAATTGTAATGTGTAGCCAGGATAGAAAACCAGTGGTCCAGAACTGGGAGCCCAGAAGTCCTGGCCTTGTGGAAGAGTGGCTGTCTGATCCCAAGTAGTTTTCACCATGTCATATGCAAAATGGGGCAGGAGAACCTGGAGACCTGGTTGTTCCCCTGGCTGTGGAATTATTCAGCTGTGGGACCTTAAAAAAGTCACCTTGCTTCTCTTGATCTTTGTAACTTCAAATATAAAATGAAAGAACTAATAATGAAGATTGTCTGCAACTTGAAAATACTTTTATGAAAAAAAAATTCTTTCTTTTTTTTAATAAAAAGAGAAAATACTTTAGAAAACATTTAAAATGCAGATGGCAAGTGAACTGGCTAAGGCAGAGGCATGTGTGGGAATGGCCACCTCTGGGGCCTGCTTCTTTTAGTCCTACCTCTCTAGCCCCACCCACATGATCAAGGCATACACATCAATATGTTTGGAATTTTAAAAGCCCAGTTTGGAGTGGAAAGGAAAATGACTTTCTGCTCTGGTCCTTTTAACTTCTCCCACATTTCTGATAGAGCCCTTCCTTAGTCTTCAACACGACCCTCAGATGGAGAAGGGGTTCTCCAAGGAAGGCCCTTCTGGCCCTTTCACTCACCTTCAGGTAATACATGGGCCTGTTCTCAAATGTCATTCCCAGGAGATGCTGTGTCACCACTTCTGCATGCTTCTCACTGATCTGGCTCATCCACAGATAGATCTGAAACAGCCCAGGAGGACCATGGCTATCAATAGGAAGAGACTTGATTGCCTCTAAGATAACCTTTTCTCTCACAAAGACATTGAACTATACACTGTTGTAAACAAAACAGAAAACTAAACCTGTGTACCATTTCTCTCCCACCTTTCCTTTTCTCTAAAACTCTACTCTGCCTACAAGTCTTAGGACACCCTGCTGAACTAACTTTATGAATAAGTAATTGAGAATTAACGACTTTAATAATCCACCAGGAACACTGAGAGACAACATATAACACAACCTTTTCACCATCATTAGAATTTGCTTTCCTGTGGCACATAGTCAAGCCAGAAATTTCGGGTTAAGCTTATCTGGTGGGTCCTTCTTCCATCTTTATGGATACCAATGATTGTGGTTTGGATGTTGTTTGTGCTCCAAGGGTTCATGTGTATTGGAGACTTGATCCCCAGTATGGTGATGTGGGAGCTGGTAGAACTTTTAAGAGGTGTGACCTAGTGGGAAGTCATTAGGTTATTGGGAACTCTATCCTAAGAGGGGAAAACCATCCTCTGGAGGGAACTCTCTTGGGGATGAATGGTGACAAAAGCCTAAGCCTGACCCCTAGACTCTCTAGCTTCCTGTTTGATGATGTTATGTCTTCCTCCCACATATGATCCTGCCTTTGCCACCCACCATGAGCAGATGCAGCTAAACTAGAAACTGCACCATGCTCTTTGGACTTTTCAGGCTTAAAATTTATTTCAGCAAAATAAACTTCTTCTTTATAAAGTTAAGCCTATCTCCCTCAGCTATTTCATCATAGTAATGAAAAGCAGACTAATGCACCAACAATATCTTTTGCTATGTTCTAAGATTATAAAAAAACCCTGTTATGCCCTTCCCCAAACATGTAAACTGAGGTTTCTAACTCCTTATTTTGACATGGATATTAACAAAGAAACCTCTCTTGTACATCCTTAAAACAATCATGACATCCGGCTCCTCCCCCATGTAAAGCCCTTGCTCACCTCCTCCATGGGGTGGTACTTGTTGTAGGAATAGGTCTCCAGGTTCTTCCACGGACTCCCTGTCTTGTCCACAACCTGATTCCCGTGTTGTGCTAAGGATCTGCAAAGGGAAGAACACAGGATCAAACGCAGTGAAGAAAGAAGGATATTCTGAAGGTTAGAAAGTTGATCAGAAAGGTAGCAGAAATCAGTGTGCACAGGATTCGAAGTACAAAAACCAGTGTTGAATCCTGTCTCTGTGATTTACTAATTGTGAGATCTTGGGCAACCATTTAGCCACTCTGAGCTGTAATTTCTTTATCTATAGGGTGAGGACAATCATTTCAACCTTGCAGGGAAGCTAGGATGATTCAATAAGACAGTGCAGATAAAACACACTTTTAAATTTGTAAAAGGAATAATAGCTAAGATTTATTGAACTCAAACTTTTTATGAGACATGCACTGTTCTAAGCAATTTAAATCTCATTTACTTCTCTCTAACACTCTGAGATAGATACTCTTATTATCTCTATTTCAGACATGAAGAAACTGAATCACCTGGAAAGTGTTATTGGGATTTAAACCTTAACAGTCTGACTAAAGAGCATGTAATATTAACCACTGTGCTCAATATAATGGTGAGAACTAATCTTTATGCAGTGGTTTATCTTTTCTTTAAGTAAACATTTTTAGAGCACTTTTAGGTTCACAGGAAAATTAAGTGGAAAGTACAGATGGTCCCATTCACCCCATTTTCTCACACATGCAAAACCTCCTGTCATTATGAGCATCCAACAACACAGTGGCACATTTGTTACAACCAATGAACATAAACTGACACATCATCACACAAAGTCCAAAGTTTATATCTGGGTTCATGCTTGTACATTCCACGGGTTTATACAAATGTTTGATGACACATATCAAGCATTATAGTATCCTGCAGAATAGTTTTACTGCTCTAAAAATTCTCTGCGCTCTGCTAATTCAGCTTTCACCCTCCCAACCCCTAGCAAGTACTTATTTTTTTCTGTTGCCATAGTTTAGCTTTTGCATAATATCATATAGTCAGAAGAATACAAGATGTAGCCTTTTCAGACTGGCTTTTTTTCAATGACTAATACACATTTCCTCCATGTCTTCTCATGACTTGATTACTCATCTCTTTGTTGGGTCTGTATAATATTCCTTTACTTGCATGCACAATAATTTATTTAACTATTCATCTATCAAAAGGCATCTTGATTGCTTCCAAGTTTTTGGCAACTATTAATAAAGCTGTCATAAACATTCATGTGAAGGTTTTTGTGATGACATTTTTTGAATCATTTATTCACTTGAGTGAATACTAAGAAGTATAATTTCTAGATCATAGGGTAAAGTATGTTAAGTTTTGTAAGGACCTAACTTCCAAAATTGCTGAAACCTTTTGCATTCCCACCAGTAATGAATGTGAGTTCTGGTTCCTCCACATCCTCAGTGACATTTGGTATTGTCAGTGTTTGGAATTTGGGTCACTTTAGTAGATATGCTATGGTATATCATTGTTGTCTTAATTTGAAATTCTCTACTGACAGATGATATAAAACATTTTTACATGCATTTAATTACCATCTCTATATTATCTTTGGTAATGTAACTCTTCAGATGTTTTTGTCCATTTTTAAAATCAGATTGGTCTTTTTTAAAATTGATGAGTTTTAAGAGTTCTTTGTATATTTTGTACCCAGGTTTTTTCTCAGATCTACCTTTCCTAAATATTTTCTCTGAGTTCATGGCTTGTCTTCTCATTGTCTTCACATTTGCTTTTGCAATGAAGCTCAGCTTTCATATATTGTGCCTTTTCTGTTGTATCTATAATTTAATTGCCATACCCCAAATCATTTAGGTTTTACCCTAAGTTATCTTCTAGAGTTTTATGGTTTTGCATTTAAAATTTAAGCCTATGATACATTATTGAATTAATATCGTGATTCACTCTTTTGTGTCTGGATGTCTAGTTATTATCCTGGTATTGTGTGTTGAATATTTTGCTCTGTTGTATTATCTTTGCTCCTTTGTCAAAGATAAGTTGGCTATATTTATGTGTGTCTATTTCTGAGTTCCCTGTTTTCTTCCACTGATTTGTCTATTCTTTTGCCAATACTCCAGTGTCTTGATTACTATAGCTTCATATTTAGTTTGGAAATCAGATAGTGTCAGTTCTCTGACTTTATACTTCTCTTTCAACAATTTGTTAGCTATTCTATGACTTGTATTTCTCCACATAAACTTTAGAATCAGTTTTTTAAAATATGTTTTAGCTGTCGATGGACTTTATTTGTTCATATGTAGTGCTGAGGATCGAACCCCAGTGCTTCACACAATCTAGGCAACCCCAACCCTAGAATCAGTTTGTTGATAACCACAAAATAACTTTCTGGAATTTTGATTGAGATTGCATTGACACTATAGATAAAGTTGTGAAGAAATGACATCTTGACAATTTTTCTCATTTATGAGCATAGAATATGCCTCTATGTATTTTGGTTCTTCTCTGACTTGTTTCATAAGAATTTTATAGGTATGCTGGGTTTGCTAGATTTATGCCTAAGCATTTCAGTTGGCAGGCATTAACATAAGTGATAACATGTTTTCTTTTTATTTAAAATTACCTATTCATTGCTTAGTACATAGGAAATCAATTGATTTTCCTATGTTAACCTCATATCCAGCAACTTTGCTATAATCACTTATTTGTTTTGGGAGGTGTTTTGGTTCCTGATTCCGATTTTCTACACACACAATCATGTCATTTGCAAACAAGAACAGTTTTATTTCTTCCTTTCTAATATGTATACCTTTTATTTCTTTTTCTTGTCTCATTTCATTAGCTAAGGCCTTCCATCAGAATTTTGGAAAACATTTGTGAGGACAAATGTCCTTTTATTGACTGTTCTTAACGGGCACACTTCTAATTTTTCACCATTAATTATGATGTTAGCTACAGGGTTTTTATGTTCTCTATGTATCTTTTATGTTCTTAATTATATACTATGAGTAAATATGTTCTCTTAGTGTGCTAGTTGAAGTTGTTCTTTTTATATCATAAATGAGTATCAGATTTTGTCAAATACTTTTTCTACATCTATCAATATGATCGTGTGATTTTCTTTCGTTAGCCTGTAGTTGTAGTGGATAACATTAATTGATTTTTGAATGTTAAAGCAGACTTGCATAACTGGGATAAATTCCATTTGGTCATGGTATGTAATTCTTTTTATATATAACTATATTGAATTTTCCAAGGTGCTTATATCTATGTTTATGAGAGATTTTGTTCTGTAGTTTTCTTTCCTTGTAATGTCTTTGTCTGATTTTGGTTTTAGGGTATTTCTGGCCTCATAGAATGGATTAGGAAGTATTCTTTGGGCTTCTAACTTCTAAAAGGATTATGGAGAATTGGTATAACTTCTTCTTTAAATATTCGGGAGAATTCACCAGTATACCCATCTGGGTGTGATACTTTCTGTTTGAGAGGGTTATTGATCATATATTCATTGTCTTTAATAGATATAGGCTTGTTCCAACTATCTGCTTGTGATTTATCTTTTAGCAGTTTAATAAGACCATACAGCTCCTCCTCTGTACCAGATATTGCATTAAAAATTCCTATGGCCCTCTGAAGTGTTATTATTTAGATTCTACAAGTAAGACCAGGAGAAATTAAGTCACTTGAAAAGAGTCACAGAGCCAGTAAGTCATACAATTATTAGTCTCTCTCTAAACCACACAAACATTTGACGAATGTTTTAGATCCTAGCCAAAAAGCTTTGTTTAAGCAAAAAACTGGGTTCTGATTTCATTGTGAAAGCATACTGTTAATTCATTTGCCCAGTAAATGATTACTATGGCAAGGGAACAGGGGTGTGAGTTTTTGATGATGCTGTGGTGCAAATTTTGTACATTATCCTGAATTGCAAGAGAATGTGTCAGAGATCTAATGAGCTAATATTTCAATAAATTTTATCTGTTTTTCCACTTTCAAAAAAGGAGAAACTTTTATGGTGTTGTCCCTTCTTTATCTCTAAGTTTTCATTTCTTTTTTTTAAATTTTTTATTGTTGGTTGTTCGTAAGCAGCACTGCTGTGCAAGTGTCTCCAGGGACCTTGTTTCCTGGCAAGAATGACAGGCAGAACAACCAGGGTGAGGAACCAGGTTCAAGAAGAGGCTAGAAAGATGGCATTCATTTGCTTCATTTCCTCTTCTCCCCATTCTGAAAAGGGTTAAAAGTATTTTCTAGTGACATCTAAACAGGGATACTTATTGTTCTCTTTGTAGTTAAAATCAAAAGTGGCCAATTTAGAAATGGGCTAGTAGACATTTCAACAGATATTTTAGGGTGTAATACAAAGTAGTTGAGCCTATGTATTAAAGTCTTAAGAAAAAAAAAGAACATAAAAATGATAGTATTTGCAGTCAAGATCAAAAGGTTGTTATTAAAGTTAAATGAGTCATATAGACAGATATATAGATATAGATACATAGATATCAAGTTCTGAAAACAGTTCTAGTAAAATGTTGGTGGTTGTTGTTATTGGCTAAGCCTGAGTTTGGAATTCTCCCTTTCCTGACTTTTATGTACCTTGAGCAACATTTAATTGGTAATCAGGTACTTGTTTATTACATCTCCTATCTTGTTACTTAATAGCTAAATTAGTTTTGCTTTTCAAAGTAGATTTTAAAATGCAAGAAAGAAATTTTCTATTACTACTACCAATTACTACTTTCATATAAAGTAATAAGAAGACCTACCCATTGGTCGTTGAATGGATAAATTGGATGATATAAAGCACTTTGACCAGCACCCTGCATATGGTGCTCAGTAAGAGTTAACTAATGTTATTGTAAAGTATATTTTCTGATTAGTTAGTAGACATAAAATGTGCATTTAAATTACATTTAATTGTAATTGAATTTTTATAAATTTGAAACACACTAGGGGGTATATGTATTCTTCCTTCTAAAATGATATCTTTTAGAACAATCAGTGTCAACATATTATTTGAATCTATACATATATGTGTGTGTGAATAATAAACATTAGAAATGATTTTATGAATAATATGAATAAGCACTT